ATCTGGGACAAAGGGAGACTCTTTTTTGGTTGGTTGCTAATCACATTTCTTAGGTATTGCTTTCCCCTTTACAATTGCAGAAAATGCAGGCATGTATTCAGATTTAACTTCCTTTAAGAAGTCTTTCCTGGTCACATTAGATATTCCCAAATTGCTCTCCAAAGCCCCCCAGAAAGGTATGTGTGCCCAGCACCCCGCTGCGGGCACAGAGAGGGGCCTTGGCCAGCAGGGGGCACCAGAGGACTGCGCCCCGAGGCCGTGCGGAGGACCTGGGGCGGGACTCCCGGGGAGGGGAAGAAGTGCCTGGCTCTGCCCGGTTAGCTGCACAGAGCCCACAGAGGTCACCCATATCCCAGAGCACCACTGCACCAAAAGTGTCCCCTCACCTTAACCTGCAAGGCACCTGGGTAGGGGCCACACCTTCAGGAGCTGATCTGCTGCCCTGGGGACCTGGCCTGAAGTCTCCTCCCACCTCTGTGGTCTTGGTGCAGGTCCAGGAGGGAGGGAAACAGGCAGGGACCGGCCAATGAAGGACCGGCCTGGCGGTGGGGTAACTGGTCAGGTCAGATCTAAGCCCGGATCTGAGAAAGGCCCTGTCTTCTTCAGGGCGCAAGTACCAGAGACCCAGGTACCCAGCATTGCACTGCAGGGGCTTCGAGCCTTAAGTAACATATAACATCGTCTACTTATCCCGGCATCTCCAGGAGACAGGAGCCACCCACTCTTTACAGCTGGGGGAACGGAGGCTCAGAGAGGCTAAGTAATAAGCTCAGGGTGACCCAGCCAGGAAGAGATGGAACCAGGATCATTCATCAAGTGCAAGACTCAGCCCTCTCCCCTGGCCTTGAAATAGGAAGCAGGTGCTGGGGGTGGGGTGGGAGCCTGCTTGGCTAGAGTGATCCGGGAAGGCTCCTTTGAAGAGGTGACTTGACTTACTTCATTTCTGTTAAATAAATCTATCATTCATATGCAAAAGTGTTTAAATGATCTATGCACAGTTTAGAGACTAATACTGTAGATCCTCCCTAGCCTAGGAAACATTTCCAGAACTCTAGGAAGTGCGAGCTCAGCCTCTCCTTACCCTCTCCACCCCAGCTAACCACTCTTCAGACCTTTGTATGAAACATTTCCTCCTTGGGAAACCAACATGTGGCATGATACTTAAGGCCCTGGACTCCCACATGGTTGACCATGGTTTGAGTCCCAGATCTGGTGGCTTAAAAATTATGCCAGGTGTGGGACCAGCAGGTGCCATGGTGGTTAAGGCACTGGACTCCCACATGGCCACCTGCAGTTTAAATCCTGGACCTCTCTTTCATGCATATTCCATACAGCAATAATAATAATACAATTAAATAAATAATTCTTTTTTAAAAATGATGCCAGGTGCATGTTCATGTGTGTCCAAAATTCCAGGAAGAGAATGGAAGAGAAGGGATTGTAGCATGCTCCTCCCTCCTGAGGTGCAGGGTGAGTGCGTGCACTCTGGCAAAAACCTAAAAAAAATTTTTTTTAAATTCTCTTTGGACCAGCCACTGGGCTGGTAGTTAAAGCAGCTGGATCTCACATGGTCAATAATATGTTCAAGTCTCAAACCTGTGGCTTAAAAAAACATGCCGGAGCATGCAGGTGCATGCCCAAAATCCTGAAAGGAAGGAAAATGGAGAAGGCATTGCAGAATGCATATCCCGTGGGGGTGCTTCTCACTTTTCCTCTACAGCCAGCACATGTGCCCCCTGGCAATAAAAGAAAAACATGTCCTCACTTCATAGTTTTACCGCCTTCATATACATCCCCACACAATAGCGGGTTTATCAGTTTGCCTGCTTTCGAAACTGACATAGTCCCAGCTAACCGTGTGCACTTGTCTGCGACTTCCGTCCTGCGGCGTATGTATTCAAGTTTGACCCTGTGGATGCAGTGAGGGCTTTTAGGGCTGAACCTCGGCTCACAATGCACCTGCTGCTCATAAATATCTGAGGTGTATCCAGCTCACTCTTTCTTTTCTCTTCCTTCCTTCCTCCCCTCCCTCCCTCACTCCCTCCTTCACTCCCTTCCTTCCTTCCTTCTTTCCCTCCCTCCCTCCATCCCTTCCTTCCTTCCTTCTTTCCCTCCCTCCCTCCATCCCTTTCTTCCTTCTTTCTTCTTTCCTCCCTTCCTTCCATTAGGAACAAGGGTGCAATGAATATTCTCTGCTTTTTGGGTTTGGGCTGGACAGCAGTTCTTAACTGTAGCTGCTTATTAGAGTTACCAGGGGAGTTTTTTTTCTTTTTCTTTTTTCTTGCTTTTTTTTTGTTTGTTTGTTTGTTTGTTTTTTGGAGAGATTTTCACTGTAGGGCGCGTGCGCTCGCCAGACAGAGAGAGACATAGAGACAGAAAGCGAGAAATTACACCCCAGGGGGGATGGTCACGCA